TTTAGAGAAGAGAAACGACTTATGAACTCCTCCATGCCTCTTTCAGTGATGCTAAGGAATATTTCCCCTTCTTATGCCTTGAGCTGACCCGGGAAACATGGATTTCTGGTGGAGTTGTACAGGTCAGCTGAAGGAGTTGCACGTGCTGTCCTGCACCTTCAAATGAAAAACTCCTGCATTGAAAAAATTGCCTAGAGACAGCTCTAATTTGTTCTAAATTATCATCCCTTCTATCAGCAAGCTGGGAATTGTTATCCATTTATTTCTTACAATGTCACTGAATCGGTGACCACCTGCAAGGTGTCCATGATGATAAACGCCTGCTTTGTATATGGAGCTATTTCTGACAATGGTTGATAGTGCACATCTATCAAATTGCCTGGAAGAGCCACCTATTAGGATCATTATCTAACACAGCCCCTCTGTGGGAGTTCAATGTCAGCACATCCTGGGGTAGGTACCTCACTGGGTACCAGTTCTGCTCATTATTTCTCTAGACTAATAGTTTCACATTTCCATCATGAATTTGGGCCGAACTTTGGAGTTCTCACACCCAGAGCCAAGCTGTAGCACAAGCACCGAGAATCCCGAGCACGCTCCCAGCGCACAGCGGACTGCTGCACCCACTTGGTGCGAGCGGGAACTCCTGTCTGGAGAGTTGGCTGGCTGAACTCTGTGCCAGCCAGGGGAAGGCAGGAATGTTTTTTTCCCTGCAGGACTGCAGTTATCCAGCACTATAAAAGCCTTGGTGAAACACAGACATGCCCTGCTACCTGCTTGCTCCCTGCTGGGTCTGTGCTGCTGAAAGTACCACCAGCTCTCCTTCTGCAGCTCGCTCTGTCCCAAGGGAAACATTTTGAAAGAGCTCTGGTTCAGGTCAGGAGTTTTGATCTTAAAAAGTCAGTGCTCAGCAATCTTTTAGCAAACTGTCCTGGTTTCGGCAGGGATAGAGTTAATTTCCTTCCTAGTAGCTGGTACAGTGCTGTGTTTTGGATTTAGTTTGAGAACAATGTTGATAACACACGGATGTTTAGTTGTTGCTGAGCAGTGCTTACACTAGTCAAGGACTTTTCAGCTTCCCATGCTCCACCAACTGCGAAGGCTGGAGGTGCACAAGAAGCTGGGAGGGGGCACAGCCAGGACAGCTGACCCCAACTGGCCAGAGGGACATTCCATACCATGGGACGTCATGCTCAGTACATAAACTGGGGGAAAGCTGGCCGGGGGGGCCGCTCGGGGACTGGCTGGGCATCGGTCAGTAGGTGGTGAGCAATTGCATTGTGCATCACTTGCTTTGTATATTCTTTTATTATTATTATTACTATTTTATTTCAATTATTAAACTGTTCTTATCTCAAGCCACCAGTTTTCTCACTTTTACTCTTCTGACTCTCTCCCCCACCCCACGGGGGGGAGAGGAGAGGAGAGTGCACGAGCAGCTGTGTGGTGCTCAGTTGCCAGCTGAGGTTAAACCACGACACAAGCCATGCCCGTTACTCCCCAAACCACCTTTCCTACAAGAAAGCCACAGCTCTCAGCCCTGGGCAGTATTCGTCATGACTGAAATTACAACCAGGAAAACCACTTTTTCCTCATGGAACCAGCCACAAAACATGGGGGCCTTAATTCCTTCTGCAGAGGCTCACCTATTAATGCAAAATACAGGCCCTTGGAGGTCACGTAGTTCAGTTCTTGGGAAGAACATATGCAAAAGCGATATTCTGAGAAGGCACCTCAATGTCCTCTAGCCTTTCCCCTCAAGACTGGCTCTGTTCAGAGGGCAGTCCCTGAAACCATGTCCACAGTGCGTCATGCCTAGCAGCAGCTCAGATGACACAAGCTAACGTCAGTCTCTTTCTGTAGGCTGAACTGCTCCGGCCAGTGACAGATGCAGCCTCTTCCAACCTGAGAAAATAGTTATTTTCCCATGTTGCTTTTTATTTCCCATCACTCAGTTTAAAAAGCAGTTCAGACTGCAGCCAGGCTAGCGTACAAATAATATACAAACAAAACCTCCCCCAAATCCACAAAAGAGTCAGCCAGCTACCCTGTGTTGCCCCAGTAATCCTTGAACTGAATAGAAGAGGGAGGTTGTAGCTTTGTTAAACAAAATGCAACTGCCATGTAATGTGCAAAAGGGCCAGAAGCGATGCCAACAATTTACATGAGCAATAAAACTGCAGAAAAATGAACTACTGCTTACCCGTGGTGCAGGCAGTATGCAAGATGGATTTAGGTGATGAAATCTGTTTCACTATTAGCTGCCAGATAGCTTTAATTCATGTCAGATACAATTAACTCACTCTGACAATTGGAAAAGGAAGCTTGCATGTTAACAGCATAGTTGGTTGCACCGTGCTGGGAATGCCATGCTTCAGCAGTGCCACCTCTGCAAAGAGGGAACCTTGAGCTGTGCCGCCTCCACGCTCTACAGAGCAAGTTCAGCACACAGACAACCCAAACAGGTACAAACCAAAATGCAGTCATGACCCCCAGCAAGTTCTACTGATTCCGCTCCTTCCAATCTTCCAGGTGCTAAATGTTATTTTGCAAGCATTTTTTTGCTGTAGGCATAAGTAATGTGTTAACCCCAATAATAGCACAAATATGGCCTGTCATCCTCCAGAAGAATCAGGAATGTACAGCACATAAATCTAGTCAGAAACAAAGGTATGCCTCTGCTGTTGGAGAGCTGGGTAGGCAGGCTTGCAGGGACACAAGGCTTTCACGTCTGCATTGGAAAAGTCTGCGGAAGCAGTCAAGTCACATCTGCATCTCCCTACCACTCAAGACTCAATCTAGAGGAACAATACTACTGTCTAGTACTAGCAAAAACATTAATTCCTGGATTTACTAAGGAACAATACCATACCTCAGCATTAAACAGGAGACCGAAATGGCCGATAGTGTACCAAGCATGTCAATGCAGGGCCTTAAAGATTGTAACTAGAGCTTTTAAAAGCAGACAGTATTAACAGAAGAATTCTCCAGGCTAGCTAAGCATTTTAGTTCATTTTTCTTTTCCTGGTAAAGACACGTTTAAAGCAGAATCTAGACTTAAACATCTGTATCCAAGCAAGTGTGTCACAGTTTTATTTACAGCTTAACTAATTTTTCTTTTTTTAATTAATATGTTAGCAGAATTCATCAATGACAGCAAGGCAAGTGTACTTGTAGCTTAGCGGTTTACAATATTGCCACCTGCAGTTAGGACCTAGAAGCTGCCAAAAACTCTTAAATAGCAATTTCCAAATACATGGTATATACTTGAGGTTTGCCTTCCAGTGACATGCTTGCTTTTTAAAGGAAATTCATATACAAACGCTGTTCTACAAACTTTCTCCCATACCTGGCTGCATCAAAGATTTACACCAAAGCATAAGTTACCTCTGATAGCAGCTTTTCCCAGTCTTCCTTCTTAATTATGCTGTAGGCTTGGCTTTTGCCAAAAGAAGAACCTTTCCAAAACTAGAAAAAGTCCCAAAGTCTCAATGTCTGAATGCTCTCTTAACGTGCCAATTAAAGTGTTCTCATGTTAGCTTCTCCGCTGAAACAGAGGAAGGATTATCAGGTTGTCTCTTGCAGATGCCATTTTACATATTTGACTTTGTATGATCCATACAGAATAATGTTTCAGAAATCGAAGCTAATCACACTTTTAAGGGATTCCATCTTAGTCCAACAGACGAGAGAAGTGTCCTCTCCCATCCTGTACCAGCTACAAAGATTCACAATAAAAAAATGAAACCCTGTGTTTTGAGTGAGAGGAGTCTTTTGCGTTTTAAGACTTTGTCATCCTCCCATGGAGAGCTAGTGCTTCATAGAGAGCTCTGCTTTTCCAAGCTGTTGAAAATAAAATGGTGGTTGTAGGAAAGCAAATACAAGACTTCTTCCCTGCTTCATTTTGCAAGGAAGTGTTAAGCCAGATGAGTGCTCCTGCTTACATTTTAAAATATAAATACATTAACCCATTCCCAAAAGGCTACATTTAAAGTTGAATTTTCCTGAATTTGAAGCGGAGCAAGATTTCTCTGTATTTTCTATAAGCAATGGGGAAAAAAAACCATTGATAACCGAGGAAGTTATTTTGTTCTGTTCAAACAGCATTTATTGGATATAGCTTTTTGACAAAAGAAATCCACTGAATCAACTCAATTTAGATGAGAAGAAAGGGCAAAACAATGTTTTGACTAGTCCAAGCTCTCTTCTTCCCTGTCTATGCTCAGTTCCAGGAATACCGCTTCTCCTAAAGATTTTGAAGGGGGTGTAGGAAAAGCAAAATTCTCTCACATTAGAGATACTCCAGTAGCTCTAAGGTTACTCTCAGTAATCTAGTTAAGCAGCGGTCTAGCTGATTGATTCTGTTAAGTTAAACTACCTGTGATCTTTTATTTCTTTAAAGACAATAACATGCATAAGTTCACTATAAAAACCTCAAAGCCAGTTACAAATACAACGGCCGCTATAAGAACAAAAGGATTGCTATTGACAGCAGCATCATGAACTACAAGAAGCTTTCAATTTAGTCCCGGGTACCGGTAACTTGCCTTTAGGTATCTCAGGTACTATACCGAGATAATCGTCACCTTTTAAGCACGCTTGCAGAGAAAGGACATGCCTGGAAGGAAGTGCAACAAGTCTGATCTGTTGCTTTCTTTGCCCAGACAGACACGAACTCCAGTCACTTGTGTCCACTGCTTACGTCTTCTGCAAGATACCAGAATAGCCTTTCTACCCAGCTTGCTGGTCTGCAAGCCCCAGGTAACTGTATCTTGGCCTCAACCTTAAAGGAAATAGGAAATAAAGTATTTTTTTTTCCTGAATAAAAAAAAAAGTAATTTATTCTAATCCCATTACATATTATAGGTAGAAAAATTAAATTTACAGAATGGAAGTTAAGAACTAATAGAAGGAAGACACAAATTAGAACAAGAACTCAAGGTAGCAGTCCTAAATGTAACACACTGTATTTACAGAGAGATGTCAACATTCGTTGAGTTTCATCTATGGGTATTTGCACCACTGCAAGCTTGTGCAAGACGAACCTAGAAAGAAAGAAATTAATCAGTACTCTGAGAGACACTTTTATATCCCACCACCACTTACAACTTCTGCCTGAAGTAGAAGACACTTTCAGTTTTGATTCAGTTTTTCAAAACATTGACAACAGTTCTTTTTCAAGAAGTGCATGGTTTATCCACAGTTTGTATTAAGCTAGATATGATGTAAA